AAACTAAAAACTGAATATTCTAACCTTCATGGAGATTTATTTAAGGATTGTTGCATTAGACAGCATATGTTTCAGCTAGGTGTACCTAATAAAGTAGCAAAAAAGTGTCTATAACAATCTGTATTATACTCTGTAAGTTATTTTTATCAGTATAGGATCTTTTTTTTCTTGATTTGACTATGTTAAATCATTTATAAGTCATCATTAGCTATAGAAATTTGATGATGTTTATGGTCATTTTGTAAATCTTTTTCTGAGTTCCAAAAGAGTTATAGCAGATAGCAGTTTTCCTTTTTTTGTGTGTGTTGGTCAGTTTGCCATTCGGGTGATGACTCCCAAGCAACGTAACTCTCGAAGTACCTTGGAGGTTGACCAGTGTAAAATTTTGCACTCTCTCCATTCACTATTCTATCACATTCTGCACAAGCATATGGAAATGTTTTTCTCACTGCCAACCTGATTTAAACTTATCAACCATCTTTACATTTTTTATCAACAATAAAATCAAATTCACCACTCCTTTTAATTTGCTGCATTCAGGTGATGTTTAATCTGACTGTGCCAGGTGGTTTGTTACACAGAACCATCTAGGAAGTCGTTGTTGAAAACTGTTTGGAACATGGCAGGAACTTTCAAAAAAGACCTGGCAGGTATTGGAGGAACTATCTGTCTCTAACCGTCCATCACAGGCAAACTTCAACTAATCAGATCAGGCCTTGGATTGAATACTGTCTTGGTCTATGTGTGTAGTCAGTGTCTTCGTGTGTTTTGTTAGTTGTGTTCAGTTGTTCATTTGACTCTCATTTCAGTCACTAAACTGTATACATATTTGCTACCTATTATATTTAATAGTACAAATCAGTAAAGATTAAGACTATAAAATGTTTCCTGGTTGGCAGTCTCTGTTGGTATAGAGTGGTTTAATGTTGCTTTTAAAATGTAATTGTCTATTGTCAGAGAGAAGTAAGACTAATAGTAGTAACCACATAGAGTCATGTTGCTTAACAAGCTAGTCATCATCCACAGCACAAACCACAAAAGGAAAGCAAAATCATGCCTTTAAAAGCCAAACAATATAATACATCCAACTCTACCTCAGACATTAGTTAACTGGTAGATCATTATCATGTTCAAGGAAACATGACCAGCTATTACTTTCCATTTTCCGTATTATGATGCTATGACTTTTATAGCAAACAGTATTTTTGTAAGGAACAGGCAATATTTGGATCCAACTTGGCAGAAGAAAGAAAACAAGTTCCAGTCCTGGAAACAAGCACTCTTACTTGTGCTCTGATTAATTTAATGTTCTCCCTCACTTGGAAACAACAGTTTCTTTCTTCAGATTATCAGTTTTACAGTATGTAATTCTGAACTCCTTACAGCTCTTTAACTTGTGCAACATGATCTGAAACCTTGCAGCTAAGGTTACTGTACCTGTTTGCACATTATTAGCGGACATATAGAAAAAAACAAGTAAACACCTCAGGGAAAAAGCCTTCACAATTAACAATGAGCAGACAGTTTGGTTTCTGCCAAACCATCAGAGTCTGATCTGCAGTCCAGAACTAAAGTGAACATGGTCCATGTAGAATTCATGAATTGAATTGAATGGTCAGGGTTTCCAATATTGTTCTGCAATTGTGTTCACATCCAAACTGAACAGTTTGTCCTCCCATTACAAAAATATGACCCCCGGGCAGCAATGAAAGAATTTTCACAGTTTCACTTGGATTGTTTTGTTATTTGACACCACAGACATGATGATAAAGTTTCTGGGTTGTATGTCAGTCTTTAGTAATGCACAGTAGCTTATAAAAGCAAAAGTGCTAATGAGGGATTTCTCAATAAAATAAAAAAAAACATCAGTTTTTTGGTTTCTTCTCAACTTTAAATTAGGAAGACAAAGAGCTCAGATGGTGGACACTGTGTCACTTAAAGTGAATCAAGGAAAACCGAAGCAGATCCACTTTCTGGGGTGTGGTTGGCTTCATAAGTCAACAGACGGATGAAACACTCTGCATGGTATTACAAAAGAAGTTGTGTATGGAGTGCATGTGTGTAACTTTCAATGCAGAGGTGATATAACCAGTAACAGTGTGGAGGTGTTAGTGTACGCAGCAGTTTCTACATCAGTGTGCATCATTCATTCACACACACTTACACTCACACACACTCACCACTACAACACACACACACACACACCACAACACACACACACACACTCTTATAAAACGCCCCCTTATTCTCATCTATGTACGCAGACAGGCATGGAAGTGGTCATTAACCTAGCATGTAGGAGTGTATAATGAATGAAAATTAATTTAGTTTCAGTGTGGGTACACTGTCAAATGATACTGTACATAAAGTAGCCATCATACACCAAACATACAGCACACATGAATGTGCAATATTGTATGACAACCAATGATAATTTTCACAATCAATTAATCATTTAATCTATTAAATGAGAAATTGTCACAATTCATAATGGTTCCTTTATATAATGATTGATTAATTAACTAATGGTTTCAGGTCAACTTTGCATTGCTTGTTTTATTTTATTTTAGAGGCTGGAATGGCCAAATGTTTGCAAACAATCTAAGTATCTAAAGTACGATATTGAACATAAATGTTACTTTTGATGCATTGTACCAGAGCTAATTGTCATCTGCACTCCCCTGGCAGGTCACGATTAAACCATCAACACAATTAGGGAACAGCATTTAACAAACTAGAACAACAAGACAAAACACAAACAGTGATACACATTACACACAGTAGAACATTACACACACAAACACCATGTCACCACCATGTAAATATCAGAAATAAAAAGGATATTTCTATACCAAGTAAAGCAAATAAAATACAGAGACAGTGGTTACAGTCGAGGAGCTTTTAGCAGATTTTGTGGACAGATTTGTGTCTCATGTAAATTTTTTTTAGATGGTTCGGCCCTCATTCAAATTTACAAGAATATCTTCTCTGTAAGAGATTGTACGGTACCCTAATGTCACTCTGCCTTTGAGCAGTCACTTTTCTCTGTTAAAACCTCAACTCAGTGGACCCAGACAACATTACGACTTATAGTTCTTACAGCTTTAAAGTCAAACCGAAATATCTGCAAAACACGACACGACTCATTTATTCATTTTGCTTGGTCTACAAATATCCTTGCTTTTTATGTCTAACACACACTGTGCTGACATGGTGTGAGTGTGTGTGATGTACTAGTGTGTGTAATTTGTATTATGTGTTTAGTCTTGTTTGTCTAGTTTGTCTAGTTTGTGTAGTGCTGTTATGTCATTTGGTGGATGTTTTAGTTGTGACAGGGGGCTGCTGAAAATTAGCCTTAGGCTTACTCTGGTACATTGCATCAAATGGTAACATTTATGTTTAATAATTTAAATACAGTCCCTTACAAATAAATTAAATAAATAGATTAAATAAAGGACAAAGTTGTAAAAAGATAACCGAATACACTATACTATTAATGCTATGTTTTTTTTTTTGTTTGCAAAAGAAAACAACAATAAACGTGAGAATGGAGGGGATGGCATGTAACAAAGGTCCTTGCAGAGCTGAACTGGTGAAGCGATTTCTAAGATTTCTTGGACTGGGTTAAACAAACTGGGTTCGTCAGGTAATTAATTAGTTAATGGACGTAAAGTCAATCACCATGAAGTTTTGATTATCTTTACTATGTAAGTCAAAATGCCAGTTGCTTGTCAAAGCTTTGTTTTGCCCAGTGCCCACACTGATATATTGTTACAGGGTTTCTTTGCAGTCCTGGACATCATGTGAATCAAAAATAAATTTGGCAGAGAGCAGCGGGCATTACAGATTTCCTCCAGCAATGCTGGCAGTAGTGCTTCACAAAGGTTGGTCTCTCATGTTGGATATTGGATGTGGATTGCTTGATTATTATGTTGGCTGGCTGGCCCAGTGTAGAATATCAGGATGTTTGAATGCCTGGTTCGCAACCTAGTAGGAGGATATCCCCTTTAAATAATCACATGGTCTTGCGTAATGCAGATATTAATAAAATAATGATTCTTAGAATGAATGAAAAATCAAAAGCTACTAAAGTGTGTTACTTGATTTAAATGCCATTTTGAATATAATTGCCATGCTTATGTTAATGCAAAGTTACCAGGTATACAATGTAAGTTCATAACAAGTAACATGTAAAAGCAGATCCAGTCAGCATTTAAGTCTGGACGTGAGGCAGAAACTCAACAGAAGAGAGGGAATCAGATGGTTATGGTTTACATTTCAAAGGGAAACATGTATATTTAGGAAAGCCACTGAGGGACACATTTGATTATCCCTATTTGTGTTTACTAAGAGTCTCAATTACAAGCACATTCACAGCAACATCCCCCCTCTACTTAGTGGAGGAGTGACTAGCAACAGCAACTCACACATGGGACAGGGACCCACTTTGTTGTCTATTAATTAAGATTTGTACAATGAATACTGTCGAATGTATTTTATTTAGTGTATGTTAACATGAGACGACTATTATGTCATGGCTAAAGCAATCCACGTGACAAATTCCAAGTATGTGTCCCTCAATAAACGTGTGTTTAATGGATGAAGCTTACAGAACTCATCACCACAATCTGTTAACTGCCTTTTCCTGCTGTATCACTATAAAAAAGGCTAAATGTTTAATAATGTTATGTCCAATAATCACATGGATACGAGCCAGGAAGAGATAGCATGGGGGTCATCACTTGATATATGCAACTCTATTTGGACCGTTTGTACGCACAAAGCAGGTCAGACCAGAAATAGTGAAACTAGAGCCTGGAACAAACGCAACATGATCTACCGTGGTGTATGTTCAGTTTTCAAGTTAGTTTTTTCTAAATTAACCACACATGCATAATACAACTCTCACTGGGGTTAGAGTATCTTCTAAGAACAAAAGATACATATACAGTATAAGTCCCACTACAACACAGTCAATAAAACAGTTTTTTTCCTCTTACCTTCATGAGAGGGTATGCCAGAGATGTCTGGGGATCATGGGTGTTGATTCAAGTCCAGAGCGAAGCCAGTCAAACCTATGTGTGTGGCAGCACCATAACCAGAGAGGTTGAATACAGACTTGTGTGTAGCCACTGGGATACTCTGGTGCGTGCTACGCACTCAGGCACTCCCTCGCACAGTGTCTGAGCAAAAGGATCCACTCGTGGTCGGAAGCAGCCCACAGCTGTGCCCAGGGAGATCCAAGAGGCGACAGATAGAGACAGACGTGCTGCTGGTCTCTGCTCTCTCCTTCTCTCTCTCTGTGTGTCAGCCTGCAGCTCCCACTCTATCCCCCAGTCCCCTCTCTGTTGCTCTGCTCTCCCTCTCTATTTAAATCTCTTTCTTGTACACACATGCTTTCTCCATACTGTATCTCCCCCCTCCCCTCTCTCTCTCTCTGATACACACACCTCTGTCAGTCTTTTTTTTTTGTCTTCACACAGCCTGCTGTCATTGAAGCTCCCTACATACAGAATTCCTTTCAGAAGGATTTAATATCTCAACCAGTCTACACTTCTCTTTCACCTGCCTGTTTAACAGACTAAGTCCTTTTATCCTCACATTTGTACCTCAACCCCTGGACATAAACTCCTCCTTGACAGTGTTTCACCTTGCTGTGAAAACATGCTCATAGGACCCACAATATTAATTCTAATTGTTGGACTTGAGAAAGATAAAGGCACGGAAGAGGGAAAGACCAAGACAGAAACAAAGAAACAAAGGGATAATGATATGATACAAAATGGATATCTGGATGTGGAGAGCAATGTGGGGTAAGGGATTGAGACTGGGGCATGGGTTTTGTCTTTGAAGTGCAAATGAAAGCAAAATGTCATGGTTAATCTTTGCTAGCGAGCACAGTTTTTTGCCACTAGCAAAGGCACATAGTGTGTGTACTCTTGCTCTGTAGTCCGTTCGAATGCAATTTCACAACGCACTGGAGGATCTACTGGAAGCCTCATTCATTAAAAAAAAAAAA